AAAAGAAAATAATAATCCTAAATTCCTTTTCATTTAAATGGTATATCAGATTGAAAAGTAAGTTCCCTATATGCAGATTTGGAATTTTTTTTTTTTTTTTTAAGACAGGGTCTCTTTCTGTTGCCCTGGTTAGAATGCAGTGGCCTCATAGCTCAGTGCAATTTCAAACACCTGGGCCCAACCGATCCTTCTGCCTCAGTCCCCTAGTAGCTAGGACTATAGGTGTGTGCCACCACATCTGGCGAATTAATTATTTTTATTTTCTGTAGAGACAGGTCATGCCATGTTGCTGGTCTCAAAATTGGATTCAAGTGATCTTCCCACCTTGGCCTCCAAAGTATTGGGATTACAGGTGTGACCACCATACCCGGCTACAAATTCTGATTCTTTGAAGCTTGGATATATCTTATGCTAGTATGTTTTTGCCGTTGTATTGGTTAAGTCTTCAACTCAAGGCTCGGCGCCCATAGCACAGTGATTATGGGGTCAGCCACGTACACTGAGGCTAGTGGGTTCAAACCTGGCCTGGGCCAGCTAACCAACAATGACAACTGCAACAAAAAATAGCTGAGTGTTGTGGCGAGTGCCTTAGTCCTAGCTACTTGGGAGGCTGAGGCAAGAGAATCACTTAAGTCCAAGAGTTTGAGGTTGCTGTGAGCTGTGACACTACGGTACTCTACCGAAGAGGACATAATGAGACTGTCTCAAAGGAAAAAAAGTCTTCAACTCAACATATCTGAAGCATTACCTATTTACAGATGAATTTTCTGGAATTAGGGTAGAGTGAAAGAGTGGAACATTGATAAAGATGGAAAGGGCTGAGTGCAGTGGCTGGCTCGTGTCTGTAATCCTAGAGCTAAGGGAGGTCTAGGTGGAAGGGTTACTTGAGCTCAGGAGTTCAAGACCAGCCTGAGCAAGAGCGAGGCTCATCTCTACTAAAAAAAAATTGAAAAATTAGCCATTGTGACAGGTTCCTGAAGTCCTAGCTACTTGGGAGACTGAGGCATGAGGATCGTTTGAACTCAGGATTTTGAGATTGCTGTGAGCTAGGCTGATGCCTTGGCACTCTAGCCTAGACAACAGAGTGAGACTCTCAAAAGGCGGGGTGGGGGGGCAGTGCCTGTGCTCAGTGGATACGGAGCTGGCCCCATATACCGAGGGTAGCAGGTGCCTGTAGTTCCAGCTACTTGGGAGGCTGAGGCAAGAGAATCTCCTAAGCCCAGGAGTTGGAGATTGCTGTGAGCCATGACACCACAGCACTATCAAGGGCAATAAAGTAAGACTCTTAGGGAAAAAAAAAAAAAAAGATTGAAAGAACAGGGTTTTTTGAAGGACTTTAAATTTTATTCTCCCACATGTAGGACACCATGTGGAACCTCCTAGAAAAGCCTTTCCAGTTACATTTTCCAGACTTTCTGCCTCTTTTAATTTTTTTGTTTTTAAGCAACAGGGTCAGGTCTCATTATGTTGCCCAGGCTGGCCTTGAACTTCTGGGCTCAAGTGATCCTCTCCTACTTCAGCCTCCTGAGTAGCTGGGACTACAGATTCTCACCACCATGGCCAGTTATCCTTCCTAGCCTCCTTTCTCTCTGTCCAGTCATCAGGAGGGCCTCTGCTCTTTTTTTTTTTTTTTTTTTTTTTTGAGACAGAGCCTCAAGCTGTCCCCCTGGGTAGAGTGCCATGGCATTACAGCTCACAGCAACCTCCAACTCCTGGGCTCAAGCGAGTCTCTTGCCTCTGCCTCCCAAGTAGCTGGGACCACAGGCGCCCGCCACAACGCCCGGCTACTTTTTGGTTGCAGCCATCGTTGTTTGGCGGGTCCGGGCTGGGGATTCGAACCCACCACCTTAGGTGTACGTGGCTGGCGCCTTAGCCGGTTGAGCTATAGGCGCCGAGCCAGGGCCTCTGCTCTTAATCCTTTCTACCCTTAGTGCTAGGGCTTGTCTAGGAGGCAGTGGTTTATACCCTGATGGGTCCAGTCGGGAGATGGGAAAGGAAAAAGCAAACTTTATTCCTTTAATTTTCACTTGAAATTTTAAGTACTATCTGTATTGTTTCTGGCATAGGGGTTTTACATCCATCGCAAGCTTTTGCTTGTGCTGTCTCCTCCGCCCACCCCCTTTTATTTGCTGGCTCATACCTGGGAGTCCTCTAAGACCCAGTTCAGGTGCCTTCTTTGTAGTCTTCTCAGAGTGCTCTGACTGGGCCTTTCCTGTCATCTTGTCACATGTGGCACCATAGGAAGAGATTGTTAGGTTTTTTTTTTTTTTTCTTTTTTCCATGTCCCTCCATGTCCCCCCTTTTTCCTAACTTTTTTTTTTTCATTTTTGAGACAAGTCTCACTATGTCACCCTGGGTAGAGTGCTATGGTGTCACAGCTCGCAGCAACCTCAAACTCTTGGGCTGAAATGATCCTTTTGCCTCACCCTCCCAAGTAGTTGAGATTACAGGCACCTGGCTACTTTTTTGTTGTAGTTGTCATTTGGCAGGCCCAGGCTGGGTTCAAACCCGACAGCTCCAGTGTATGTGGCTGCCGCCCTAGCCACTGAGCTACAGGTGTTGAGTCTCCTAACATTTTTAAATGAAAAATTTTAAGCTCTAATTTTTTGTTTGTTTGTTTGTTTTAGAGACAGACTTCCACTTTATCACCCTCAGTAGAGTACTGTGGCATCACAGCTCAAAGCAACCTCTAGCTCCCAGGCTTAGGCAAGTCTCTTGCCTCAGCCTCCCAAGTAGCTGGGACTTCAGGCACCTGCCATAACACCCAGCTATGTTTTTGTTGCAGTTTGGCCAGGCCCAGGTTCAAATTCACCACCCTCGGTATATGGGACTAGCACCCTACCCACTGAGCCCCAGGCGCTGCCCTACAGTTTAGTTTTATAGTGAACACTTATATACCCCCACCTGGATTTCACTATGAACTTGTTACATTTGTTTTATCGTACAACTATTAATTTATCTCCCCCTTGTTTTTTACCAACATTGAAATTTATGAAATCCATTGATAAAAGTTCTAACAGAGGTGTGTGTATGTGTATGCATTTAGCAAAAACAAAAAATGGAGAGGAAAGAAGGTGATTTAGATTGTAATATGTTTTTCGGGGGGTTGAGATAGTCTCATTTTGTCACCCTTGGTAGAGTGTGTGGTGTCACAGCTCATAGCAACCTCCAACTCTTGAGCTCAAGCAATCCTTTTGCCTCAGCCTCCCAAGTGTCTGGGACTACAGGTGCACACCATAACACTCGGCTGTTTTCAGATATGATGTCTCGCTCTTGCTCAAGCTGGTCTCGAACTCCTGAGTTCAGGCAGTCCACCTGCCTCAGCCTCCCAGAGTGCTAGGAGTACAGGGATGAGCCACTGCACCCGACCTGTGTAATAAATATGTTTTTAAACACTGATATGAAATATTCCAAAATTAAATTTA